AACATTAGTAAATAATTATGGAGATAATTTAGAAGAAGAATGCTACGATGTAAAAAGAAAGAATGGAGAAAACATATTTGAGTGATTTCTTTATTTCTCCATCCCAGACTTGGTGCAAAGCCCAGTGACGACTTTTTTTAAGAAGTGGTTGGAGAAGAGATCCTAGTATGCTTCTTCTAATTTAATGAGCAAGGGTAATCTTAGAAGAAAACTTATAACTAAGAGGGAATGTAGGATAACCTAAGAGAGGGTTGGGTTTGACATTACCAGCCATCTCATTCCTTTATTCTCTTTTAAGGAATGTGACATTCCTGAGAAAAATTTAAGCACGCGAACCAAACATGGATATCTCTTATTCCGGATATCAGATTCCGGCCTGCATGAAGAATTACCTTGAACCAAACGCACCCTGAGGGTAAATACGCAATTGTGCCTTTTTAATTGCTTCGTATTATTATGGTCTACGAGTATTTTTTTTAAGTTGTACGTATCTACTTGTTTCACTTGTATAAAATTAAAGTATGTACATTCATATACTCACTTCCTATTTAAAAAGTTTACTACAATATATTTGGACACAATATTTAAAGATAGAATAGTAGAGGTAATGGATAGTATAGAAAAAGTAAGAGATAGTATAAAAATATGAAAATGAAGATGAAAAGTAAAAAAAGTAAGAGTAATAGAGTATTTTTAAAGGGAAAACTTACCAAAAAGGAAAAGTTTAGCAAATTTTTAAATACATCCCAAAAAGTAAAGTGTAGCAAACTTTAATTTTAAATACGGATGAAATTGTATTAACATCCGTGAAATTCTCATTATGTAAAAAACAACAATATATGCATAGTTTCTGATTCTAGAAAATATCAAGGGTCATCTATTTCTATCACATATTGGTTGTGCAGTAGGCATTCTATACGTATAAACTACTACCTTCTTTCCAAACTATGTAGTCATATTCAAAATTTTAATGAACTATATTATATATATTTATTGGAAATTATATATAATATAAATTTGGTATGAAACTCTTTGTTAAAATTACTTTCATAAAAGTATAAAATTTATAACTTTCATAATATTATGCTAATCAAACTTATGGTCCATGTTTTAAGATTTGACTAAGTATTTTGGGACGGAGGTAGTAAAAAATAATGAAATTGTATTGAATCACAATTTGAAAGGTAAAATCACTATCAACAATGAATTTAAAAGATAAAGGTCGTAATTTTAAAAACAAAAAAAATCACTATTCAAAACCACGTTTATTGGCCTTAATGTTTGTTTGAAGGGAATTTTTCGCAAGTAGACTAAGGCTATGTTTGGCACAACGAGCTGAAACTAGAGACTAATGTCTGAATTACGGGCTATTGTCTGAATCAGAGACTGTTGTCTGGAGCTGAATTTTAAAGAGCTGAATCTGAATTGCTAGTTGAATGAGATAGATCCGTTTGGCAAAAATAGCTGAAATGAATACGGAAAATATAAAATTACACTAAAGGGTATATCATACATTAAATTAAAATATTTGTTACAGTAATATCTTCCCGGACTTCCCGATCATCTCCTCTTCACTCCTATTGGCAGCTAGTAGTTATAAGTATAACATATAATACTATTTCATCATATATATAACTCTTGTTAGCATTATCACAGTGCATATATTTATCACTTTTCGTGAACCTTTGCTTGTAGTTCAAAATGCAAGTACATTTCCCTTAACTTAGCTAGCATATAGTAATATATACATTAACAAGAGTACTCAATCCTCCATACAAATTATGGAGAACCAATCAAGAACAGTTCCACTAATTTTACAAAGAATACCACAAAATTAATCAAGCCCCAGAAGTTGAAAGCTAAAATAAATAAAAGTCATATGCCCTCAAACAAATCTTAAACAAAACACATCTGCTGCTGCTAAACCAACAAGTTGGCTTGTGCTCAAACCGTTCAAGGGTAAGATGCTCTAGGCTTGAATTGATCTATTTCTACTTTTGCGGATGAAGAGAAACAGGAGATTCAGATTTTCCATGGTCGATGATTTGAGAAAGAAACGGAAGATAATTATCGCCAATTGCAATTTTTTGGTGGGAAGAGAAGGATGGTGAGCTCGGGGATAATTTTGGAATGGGGGTGCATCATTTCATCGGCTGAGGAGAAACGCTTTACTCCTTAACGTTTGAATTCAGTCCAATATTTTCAGCTTCAGCTAAATTCAGCCTCCTATCCAAACACCACTACTTTTACATTCATGAGCTGAATTTCAGAAATTTCAGCCTATTATGGACTGAAAGTGCACAACGAACACAGCCTTAAAAGACTCTAGTTGTATGTTTGGCATGACATTTTTTAAGAGCTTTTCAAAAATTAAAAGATCTTTTTTGAGATGCTACCGGGTGTAGCATCTGAGAAAAGATCTTGACTTTTAGTATTAATTAGTTCTAATAGCTTGTATACCAAACCGAACTAAATTAAACAGTCAGCTTTTTACCAAATAGCTATCACATTTTCTTTTTAAGATCTTTTCAGTCACTAAAAGCTAACAGTGACTAAAAAGCTCGTAAAAGTATCTTTTTAGCTAGTTGCGCCAAACATACCCTAAGAGGTCAAAGTAATATCACGTTTTTCATTTCTTAAAATTTGTTTCAAAAACAGACTACCTACAATTAACTTTTCACAAATAGCTCGTATACGTATGTACGAAGTATAACCTCCCGCTGGAATCTACACACTGTCCAGAAATGAACGTGAGGTTCAATTGTTCAAACTCTACTGTATCACCTGTATGCACCATATTTGATAATCTAATACAAATTCTAAGAATTACTCAATTCTTATTCTAAAAAAAACATAATGTAAAAAAAGTTAAATGTTAGAAAGATGAAAATAACTGGGAAAAATGTCTGAAAAGAAAAATACTTAAAATGAGAAAAAGAGCTCATTATAAAAATTAGAAGTTGAAAACTTCTAAATTAAATTAGAAAACTCAACAAAGGGATTTAAATATTAAAATTAGATCGGAAAAATATTTAAAAAGCAAAGAAATGAAAAAGTTAAAAATAAAATTCAAAAAGATCAAAACGTCACAAAATTGTAAGACAATGTGGTTTTCTGTAATGTAATTACTTTAAAAAGTGCACTCCATAATTTCTATATATAATATAAAACAATAAACATATAAAAAATCAAACTTATATAAAAATAGTAAAATGGAAAAATATAAATATAGAAATATACTACGTATAAGTATGTAGAAAATAGGATTTTTGTCCAAAAACTGGAAATGTAAATAATATTTTAAAAGATAAAAAATCATAAAATTGTAAAAAAACCAGTATATAAAATAAAATATTTTTTTTAGTATTAAAAATTATGAAAAAATTTACAACTGCTTAGGAAAGTTTAAAATTTTTAGAATATAAATTACAAAACTACTAAAATATTCAAATAACTACATATATTATAAAAATAAGTGTTATAAAAAGTATTTTAAAAAAGATTAAAACACTACGAAAAAATAGAAAATACTCCCAAAAATAGAGTATAAAAATATATTACCAAAAGTAAATTGTGAAACAATTAAAATATCCGAAATGTAGAATGTTTTTAATAAATAAGAAATTGTAATTTGAATATTGTAATTTGATATTTTTTAGTTGGGAAAAAGTTATTATCACCAGGGCAAATTATTATTAGTTTTTGTTGCATTTAGTTTCATTATGTTTCTTTTTATTGATAAATTTGCAAATTTAGTTTATTTTTTATTGTTTATTCATGTTTCTCTTCCTTAAAATTTAAACATTAGGGTACATAAGTGGTTTTTATTTCATCAAAGCAATGAAAAGATGGAAACCTACATAATAAAAAAGTACAATAAATAATGTGATTTGATATTGTTTCATTATGTTTCTTTTTGTTGATAATTTACAAATTTTAATTTTTTATTGATTATTCATGTTTCATGTCCATTTTCTAAAAAATTAACATGAGGGGTACATATGTGGTTTTTATTTCAAAGCAACAAAAATGAATAGAAGCCTACATAAACAACAAAAATAAAAAAAAATTACAATCAACAAATAAATAAACAATGGGAAACAAAAAGCAACATGATACAACAAAAAGCAACAAAAAAAAGTTTAACAACCATGCAACAAAGAGCAACAAAAAGTCACATGAAAGTATCACGATGCACACATAATTTTATATGTCTTTCCACATTTATGATGATCCTTATAACATGACATTACATAATATACCATTAAATTGAGTTATAGTTCGTGGTAATATATATATTTACATAGACCCTAAGGGTGAACAAAAAACTAAAAGTCAAAATCAAATCAGTCAGTGCTTCCATCCCAATAGAGCAAGTATGACATATTCACTTTGTGCTTCACAAATTCAACTTTGGGAGCTCTGTGTTTAATTTTGTAATGAAATCAATTTCGTAACTTCCAAATAAATCTCAACCAGTCAATAACTCACACCAATTGCCAAATCCTATCAACCTCTCTACTAATTAACTCATATATCATCAAAATGGACTAGTCAATTAATGGAGGGGAGGAAACACCTTATAAAGCTCCTCCATTCACCAGTACAAGAAAATTGTCCAATAGTGACGGGAGATACAGTAGTGAAAAGATAAAAAACTGTCATTGAAGAGTTTTAGTGAGGGGAAATCTCCCGTCACCCCCCGTCAGGCCGTCACTACTGCTTCCGTAGCTAAAAGTAAATAATGACGGTTATATGATCCCATCATTAAAAAGTATACAATGAGGGTATATTTACCCTCATTAAAAGGTTCTTTTTATGACAAGATCCCGTCATTAATACAACTAGTCATCATAAGGAACTTTTTTATTATATTCTTTTAATATATATAATAAAAGAATCTATATTAATATATATATATATATATATATATATATATATATATATATAGTGTAGAAATGCCATGAACTGCTTGAACCAAAAAATAGTAATCTACAACTATATTTTCCAACATAAATGTTACAAACTAAGCCAACCCTACCAAAACAACATCCATAGTGTGTACATTTTTGCTATACAAACGCAGCCCCTATGTTAAGGTTTTCCCAACTCAAATACATAACAAACAAAGTGAAAAGTATCACAAAGTAAACACTAACAAAAAACTTATACTCACTTATACAAAAAGTGAGTATCAGAATAGTCTTTAATGCTTCACCCCCTGTTTCATCAACTTTCATAATAGAGTAGTCCCGGCTTCTAATAAAATCGACCCTGCATCATACAATAGCAAAGATAATCAAGGAGATATCCAATCCACCTGTTACATTCTAAACTCAATGAATAAACAAAAATGACATGCTCTGTTATTTCAAAAGCTAAATGTACCTCTAAGCCGGCCTGAATGCATACATAATGGTATAATAACTGCACTTTTAAATTCGAGTGACTGAATTATTGAGTACAGAGGAGCCGTTCAAAAAACAAAAAAGCCTGCAATGGAATTTGTGCAAAAAATGAACCAACTACCTTTTATGTATGTTTTATGCAAAACACCCTCAAACATTGGTCCAAACTGACCATAAGATGCACATGTGTTCCCGGAGTATAATCCTGTAACATTGGGATTATGAGAGCAGTGGTATAACAGGTTGAAGGATAAGACTAACATTCCAAATTTAAGAAGGATAAATACAAAAATGTTGCAATATAAATTCCAAATTACCTATCAATTATTTTTGCATTACTGGCTGCAAAAAAAAATCTAAAGATTGCTCACTTCTCGATGTGGTGAAACACCTGAAGCTATAAAGCGTTTAAAAAGTATTGAAATATCAGTAATGAAAGGAAACAAATATCTAAAAGAATAAATAGGCCTCTTTTGTCCCAACTAGTTTTTGAGTTTTTCAATACCTGAAAATGTCATACCTGAAAATAGGCACTCGGACTTTTTAGAAACAAGTCACTTGCTGTGCTCAAAGAGCATTCTTTCTAGCTTGAATAATACTTCTGATAATCAAACAAATGCGGACAGATCAATAAATATGTCAAATCATAATGTTACTAGGTCTTTTAAATGTTAAAAGAGACTTAACAAGAAAACAAGGAATATGGCAGATGCTTCTAATACGTTGGGGAGGTTCTGAAAATTGGTTTTCCCAATTCAAACCTTCAGGAAACTTGGTTCTTGCTCTACATTCTGCAGTTAAGACTTTCAACTTATATGGCACAACTAAAGAATAAAAGGAAGATGAAATGAAAAGTCTGTAAGAGGTAAAAGTGTTTGAGCATGATGAGAATGATCCTTGACAAGCTGTGAATGATGTTGTGGTTAAGTAAAACAATATTTTGAAACAGCTCACCTAGGATGGTGAACTGGACGACATTCCTCAATGTTCCTTTCAGCTCATACGCCTCCAGCACCTATGAATGAGATGGTCCAAATACCCCTATCTTTCTCCTTTATAACCCTATGGCCTTTTCTTTTCTTCTTTACCCAATTTTCAAATTTTCTAACACATTGCTGGTGAATAAGCATACCTGCCTATCTGTTAGTATTATAAGGTAAGCTGGGGTGCGTGTAGCATTATCAAATTCTAACTAAATATTTTGCATTGAAATCCAAGAGACTCCATCCTACCCTAATCACTCTACACACTTTTACACCACATCACAGAGACACAGAGGCAGAAACAATCAAATTTAAAACCAAAGAGAGCAAACACACCGCAACTCCATAAGCATGAGTAAAAATTGAAGGACTTAAATACATAAGAAATTAGTAAAAGGTGATAGATTTTACCAGCTAGAGGAGATGTCAACAGATCTTGAAATCGGATGTGGAATGAATTGAAACCGAGCTTAAAATTGATAGATGCTCGCAGTCCAACAAATCGGCGTCCATGAGAGACCGGATTAAGGTGTGAGATGGCCAATGTGCTCTGGAATGACCTCTGGAATCGTGGTGTCTGACGGTAAGGAGGTGGTGAATGGTAGCCGATAACAAAGATGATACCACCATGAAGAACCATACGACTGAATTACTCGGATTTTTGCGGAAATTACTCCCGGTTATGAAAATTAGAGACAGGAACAAAACCCATTATATTCGGTCCGAGTCGGGTTTTTGGTAGCCCGGGTTTGGGTTGAACCGGTCAAAGCCCGGCCATGAAATATGTCATTGTTCTTTTATATTTTAACACTTATTTTCAAATAAAATTAATCAAAAATACAAATCGCAAATAATAACACAAATATTAGTCTCTAAAATCACCAACAATTCAAATTTAAAAAGATATTTATCTTAATATTTTATGTAAGATGTATATATATAAATAATATAGTTTCTTAAAAATATTACTCCCTCCGGTTTTTAATAAACTTCACACTTTCCTTTTTGGGACGGTCTAAAATAAACTTCACACTTCCTTATTTCTTTTTTTGGCAAAGAAATCTACATCAAAACAGTGTCAAACAGTGTCAAACAAAGTCTCAACAATGCCAAACAGTGTCTCTACAGTGCCAAACAGTGTCAAACAGTGTCAAACAGTGCCTCAACTAGGGGTGTGCACCGGTCCAAAACCAGATCAGACCGGACCGGAACCGGTTAGGACCGGAACCGGAATCATCATTTTCTTTGGACCGAAGACCGGATCGAATCTAACTGGTCCGGACCAGTCCGGACCTGAATTTTCCGGTCCGGTCCGGTTTTGACCCTAATTGACCCGGTTTTAAAAAATAAATATTATCTTAGAGTGTTCTTAGTTGGCCCCAAATTTTTTTAGGAATAAGACTTGGATGTTGTTGTTCTAAATTATAATTTTTTGTGCGGATATGCTAAATAGACTAAATAATTGTTTATCTAGCTCATTTATTAATTTTGGAATATAGTTATCAAAACTATTCAATCGTAACAATTAGTTTCCCACAATAATTAAAGCTACAATCTTTTGTGTATATTAAAATGCAAAATCTATTATAAAGTAATAAAAACTAAATTAAGTCCAAACATATACTACGTATAAACTACATGTGCACCTGCAAATAAAGAAACAAATAAAAAGCAGAAAAATCACATAAATAAATAAATAAAAAACAACTTAGGAAATAATTAGACACAAAATATACATTCCGTATATATTCGTTTATATAATAAAAGACAAAAACAAGTCATAAACATAATGACTAATGATACAAAACCAAGTATATAATTTATGGGAAAATAGGTTACCGGTTCATTCCGGTTCGGACCTATTTTTTCCGGGTTTGACCCGGACCGGACCGGACCGGAACCCGGAATCTTATAAAATTAAGGACCGAAACCCGGACCGGTTTATACCGGTCCGGTCCAGACCGGTCTATTCCGGTCCGGTTCAGGTCTAAAATACGGTCCGACCCGGTTAATGCACAGCCCTAGCCTCAACAGTGTACTATACAGTAAAACAAATTTCTTTCCTTATTTTGTGTGAAGTCAAAGTGTGAAGATTAAATAAAACCAGAGGGAGTACGAAATAAATTTTATAAATCAAAAAGTTACTAGAGTTGCTATAAATATATTCTCATGGTCACTAAAAGTTACTATATACTATATTCATACACTGTGTCAAACAGTGTCAAAGCAGTGTCAAACAATGTTTAAACAATGTAGCTCTACAGTAAAATCAATTTATTTCCTTAATCCTTGAGAAGTCAAACTGTGACTTTTAAACACTGTGTAAAATTGCAATTAATATAGTATATGAATATAAATAAAAAAGATTAGTTATAGATTTTAAGGCCCGTTAATGAATAAATTTTAAGGCCCGTAAATAAAGTTACTAGAGTTGCTATGTTAATTTTTTTAAATATTAATATAAAAAGATTTATATTAAAAAACCCAGCCTGGGTTTTTTCGGTCCGGGTTGGGTTATAGATTTTAAGGCCCGTTAATGAGCCCGGAATTTTCGGTTCGGTCTGAGTTTTTTTTAATTCGGGCTGGTTAAAAAGAAAAAACCCGGACCGGGATCATAATTCGGGTCGGTCCAGGGCCGGTTTCCGGGTTTCGGTTCAGTTTTTCCCACCCCTAATGATACCTGGTTTGGTCTGTTCTGTTTAAGTCTGATCTGGTCTGAGATTGAAAACAGTCCAAAAGAAAACGTCCTAAAATCATTATGGTGTAGCGACGGCAAATGGCAACCAAAATTGTACCATATGATTAAGAATGCTACTTGTCTTTGGCAAAATTATTATTTTCAATGTAAAAAATGTTCAATGATTAAATTAGCTACAACATTCCTCTTAATTTATAATTATAAATGTTTCATTAGTAATTATTTTCCTTCAAATGAACTAGTAGCAGAGCTAAACTGTGCAATCATTGGCTTTGTAATAACGTACGCTGATATATGAGGCTAAATAAATTAAATATGAAACGATCCAACTATATGTTACATTTGTTTTTTTGAATATCAAATAAAAAGTCTTGACTTTATTTTCATTTAATCATTATTCATCATTATTAATTAATAATTTTTACAAAGTTTCACTTCATAGTTCCCTTTGAAGTTCTAGAAGTGCTGCGCCCTCGTTGCAACATCATATCCACAGCTACAAATTAATTTTAGAGCTTCTTATAACATGGATTTATGCCCTAAGAAGAATTCTTTTGTTTTGTTAATATCCCTTTCAATTCTCTCGATGAAGGAAAGCATTTCTCCCAAACTTTTCTCATCTGCAAAAAAAAACCAAAAACAAGAAAAAGAGATGATGCTCAGCGAGTAGAGCCACAACATTGTGCCGATACAAAGAATATTTTTGAAAAAAAATTACACGAAATATTTTACACTAAAAATATATACATCTCTTAAGTTTGGGCCGGGTCAGGGCCAGGGTTGGCCCCCTAGCTACGCCCCCTGATCAGCAAGCGGCTTGGATAGAATTTGTTAAGAGTCCACTTCCATGATATTTATGATATAGATATGTACGGAGTATAATTCAATTGACAAATGATCAACTTAAAATATTTTTAATTAGACTGAAATGTTCTGATCTGGCTTGATCTGTTTATGTTTGATTTAGTCTAGCCGAACTGGTTTGGTCTACAAATTTCAAACTTGTATGTATTTTACAACTGTCAAAAGCCGGTTTGATCTAGTCTTGACTCTTGAGTGATTATGTTAGATCTGTTCGAGTGTGGGACTAAATCAATCCAAAGAAAATCATTCTTAAGCTACTAAATTCTTATGATCATGTCTTAAATTATTACTCTCAAAATGTATCACTAAATTCATGGCTAAATGGTCAAACATAAGAATTTACCAAATCTTGGAATGGTGTGGCCTTTGGGATGATGAATGACTACAGGATCAACGAAATATTGAAGGAGTTGTTTCCCGGATTCCCTCATGTAGTCTTCCTTCCCTATGAAATGAAGAGATGGGCACTTGATTGGCGAACCATATGCTTTCTCTGCTACTGGTTTGTCCTTTACTTTTGCACCTCCAATTATTATCACACATTTAATCTTTGGGATTTTGGTGATAGCCAAACCCTGCCCAAATATACAATCTTTAAATAACGCCGCCAAATTGCAATTAGGTTGTACTACGTATCATACAAGTATAAGGATGCTTTAATGGTCTGATCTGATCTGATCTGGTCTGGTCTGATCTGATCTGATCTGGTCTGGTCTGATCTGATTGATCTATTTAAATCTGGTTGCTCGAGTGATGTACAGATTAAATTTACATTTTTCGAGCAAATAATTGTCTCTGTTTTTTAGGAACAAAAAATTGAAAACATGATACCCTATAAAACTAACTAATTTAGGAGCATCAACATGATAATTATTACTCCCTCCGTCCCGGAAAATTATTCCCAATTTGACTTAGATCGGAGTTTAAGAAGTGAGAATAAAGTGAAAATGTATGATTGTGGTTGAGTAAGAAAAAGTAAATGAATATTGACCACACAAACCTTTCCAAAAAGGAAAATTACGTGTGCGAAATAAAAATTACGTGTTTATTGATTATTACATATCCATTTAGTATGCGAAATAAAAATTACGTGTTTGATAAATGTAATTGACTGATAAGGCTAATAATTCGAACTAATAGCCTAAATCTAGTAGTATGTGGACTTGATTGAATATCATATTTATGTCTTACCTATTTTAACTGATAGCCTAATAAATGATTCGGATGCAATCTTTAAAATAATACTAGCTCCGCCAATAAATTAGGTTGTTACTTTCCTGGATGAAATGTCTCAAAATTATGTTCACCCATCCCTTTTTAGTAATATCTGATGAATTGGGTTTTACCGAGACACACATGTGAGCTGTGTTTTATCCCTTTTTTAGTAACATCAAATGAATTCTTCAAGATAACTACGCTTTTAACTGCGCAGTTATCGATTGAATGCCTTACAATTAATTTAAATGTCTTACCGATTGAATTGTTAGCTGAAATTTGGTATGAGTAAACTAGACTTAATGAATAAGATGCGCAAATTTTTTTATCAAAACATTCCACCAGGAACTGCTCCAAATGGCGACGGGCGGACAGAGCCTCCTATATATATAAGAGCTTATTTGACATTTTTATGTAAGTTCGAGGGCGTATTTGACTTTTTTTCCAAAAAGAAAGTTGACAAAGTCTCATGGGACGGAGGAGTATTACCTAAAAACTCGCGGTTTCAAAGTACAAAAATATTTTATTTTTATAAACACCAATAGTGTTCTGGCGTGACTTTCCAAAAAATCCCTACGTCTCAACTAAAACTTCTCACTTATCTTTTTTGAACGTCTCAACTAAAGGTTTCCATTTCAATCTTTGGAAATAATCAGCACTTTAAATTACAACTTAATCATCGAATGTTAAAAAGAATACATGCACCTCTGACACATCATAGTTATCATCAATTCAATGACCCCATTATAATATATACCAATCAAAACAACTTCTCAAAATATACTCGAATAACCTTGTTTAACTATTTTCTAAATAATAATGTCATTTTTCAATTAGAATCTTAAGTCGAGACAGAGGTACTATACTTTTTACTTTCTTTGGGCTACTAAATTTAATTAACAATTAGAAAGGAAAAAAATATTTAACAATATAATTTATAAAAAAAATAGGTTCTACCTAGGCCAAAAAAGTAATTCCTTAAAAAGTCTAATCTAGATGAGTGAATACTTGCTCTTTCTCGTAAAACATACCACAAATTATCTTCAATATCAAAGTTTCTATAAAAAAACTGTACTTTCTAATAGAGAAATTCCTAACGTGGACAAATTTAATGATATAGAACTTAACGTAGTATTACTTAAGCTGACAATCCTAATTAATATTAAGGTAGATTCTATGTTACCCATAAGGTACCGTACCTTTGTCCACATGGACCAATCAGAATCATGCAGTTGAATTATTTAAATCTAAATTAAAAGGGATTTAATGATTTGGACCAATCAAATGCATGGTAGGTACGGTACCCCATTTTTTAAATGGGTACCGGAGTTGTCACCTAATATTAATTAAAGACACTTGTATACCTTTTCTTGTAAGAGAGCCAAGACTGCTGCCATTATTCCTCCCTGTAAAATGTTAACAAAAAAACAACCCACTAATCCTTATACTCCATAAAATATAACTCATCTAGGCATCATCATATGGAGAAATATGAAATCTGTGGACACTAATACATTTGCAGGAAAGAAATTAATGGCGGGGCAGACCTGGGAGAATCCAAGAAGACCATCAAAAGGCCCATATTTGATCATGCAATCTTCTATATATGTAATACATTCATTCACTTTTTCATGTGGTTCAGTCATTTCCTGATATCCATTTTTATATTTAAATTACAAATGAAAATCTTACATAAAGAGGACAAAAATAGTAAATTGATATTGTTATTATTATTATGAAAAAAGAAATACGACCTTATTAGTGTGGTACCACTCATAATATGGAGGGTCGTAAATGCCCTCCACATCGGATTTACCCCGACATGGAAAAGGGGCATCTACGAAGACTAGGTCTATTTTATCTAGGATGACTGGATCCCATTTACGGAGCAATTCAATCTTGAGAATATCTGCATTAGTTCTCGTACCATGAAGGCAAAGAAATCTAGGTTTTATCTTCCTCCACTGATTACTGCTTCCTAGGTTTCCTTGAATTGCTTTGATTTCCATTGTTCTAGCTAGAGAGAGATGTTTTCTTGCATGTGTTATTATATTTGAGGATATATATACACACACACGTAGTACGTACGTAGTATATTTCAGGAAATATTTTAGTAAATTAAGTACTACGTATTTAAGCCACATGATTACAATTAAATGTTTCTATCATGAAATATGATATGCAGATGCCAAATATTATAACCGTTTTTATTATGATGGGCAAATTATTTAGGAAATAACAATATGAAATATACATGTGTTTTCATGAAGCTAACAAAGAGCTAGGTATGACCCTTTAATGATAAGATGTTGTGGTCACGAATTGTAGACAACACAACACATAACAATATTCACGTACTTCATCCCAATAGAAGAGGAATCAAGGGTAAGGTATAATAAACAATTGCGTGCTAGATCACGTAAAAAATTATAGCCACGGAAGATGATGCTATCCATTGTGTTTATTGCATATCTTCCGTGGGACTGGTGTGACCTGCTGCTATTGGTATGCCCCCATATCATTCGAGTAATTTCAGGCCAGAAACTGGTTGCAAGTCCCAATCGGCAACCGTATGTGCCTAGCTTCAAATCCTACCCCACCGAAAACTTTGCTCAACGCTCCAAAACTGCATCTCCCCTGAGCACTCTGTTTTGCAAAGTGAAGGCTATGACCTAGACGTCCATGGAAGATCCACTCTGTTATCTGCATCGGAAACACATAGAAGCCTGCGCTCTCTATTCCCATCCTGGAGACCATCAGATTTACCACCTGGCTGTCAGATTAGGCTTGGATGAGGAATTCAAACAAAGCCCCATCGTCGATTCCCACTTAAAATAAATCGTAATATAGTGGTGAAAGTACGAGTATCGTCTCCACAGGGACGGACAAAAGAGAATCAAGAATTAATTAAATTCAGCAATAAAAAAATAAATAAAATAAATGCGATTGTGCGAGATGAAAGGTTTGGAAAATAAAACTAATGCGAATGAGCGATTAAAATAAAAGATTGGTTTCTCTCTAATTAACGACGAAAGGAACAAGGATTGATTCCGGGGTAACCAGATTTCTGGCAGATCATGCCTAATTACATGAAATTAATTTAATTGAGCCTAGCAAATCATTACTAAGTTCTTACCGCTCTCGCGGCGTAGAATACAATAATTTAGGGGACCAGGCTGATCTCTCATGTGACAGGATCTTAAATTATTGTCAAGACGAGCGAGCTTACGACCCCTTAACCGCTACTAATCTCTTAGCAAATAATTAAGTGTGTGTGAATGTGTCTTAGAATAAACTAGATCTCTCTTAATTTATTCTACAAGCAATTGTAATTCTAGCGGCCGTTTTAGGTTACAAGAGATATCCGTTAAATTATTCAAACACAAATTAAACGACTTCATGCAATTAAACCATCAAGATTCTAGCCATACATCATGATTAACCCATTCATCAACCCCAAATCCCTAATTAAACTACTCACAATTCATAATTGAAGAATCAATAGAATTGGGATGAATAGAAATAATTGTCATTAATTAAAAAGATGAACTTACAAATAATCCCAGGGTTTTGGAGTAAACAATGATAAAAACGTAAGTAATTTCATCCCTAGGCATCTCCGTAATGTTCCTAACCACTAAACAGGAGAAGGGAGGCCTTATTTATAGAAAACAGATGAGTTTGGGCTGATTTGGGACAAAAATGGGATAATCTGGGCGAAAATAGGATTTTCCGAAGGCAGATACGATCGTGCTTAGGGCCAGGCACGACTGTTTCTGATCTCCAGAGGTTGGGCACCCGTTTCTTCTACAGGCACGGCGTGCCTGTCTGCTAGGCACGATCATGCTTGGCTTTTTTCTTCACAGGGGCTTCCGTGCATTCTTCGGGCGCTCGTCGCGCGTGCTTCCTATTCGAATTATAGAATTCTTCCTTCACCAAAGTTGTCGATAATGAAGTCCTCTATCCACCACAACTTGTGGAATTGGATTTTAATCATCCAATCAAGAGACATGAATAACATGGTGGAAGGTGGCATTCTGAAATCGCAACAGAGATCATCTGACTTCATCGTCTGTTTTCACCTTGCTTCTCTCAGATTCTCACAATGGTGTTTTCATATTATTTGTAGCCCTTGAAGTTGGATTTCATATGAAACTTGAATCGTGGCTTTTGGATTCTTATACAAAGAGATATGCTGGAACGATTGACAGATGGTCATCCTGATTGTCGTTTTCAAGCTCTATTCGTCTTCTTTTGATCCCATAGTCAATTTTAGAGCTCTTTCGTCATCAAATCTTCATCGTAAACCTCCCGGTGATGTCCAAAGCTCTCAATCCACTCTCGAATACATCTTGAATCATCCCGATTACTTCTCAAGCGCCGATTTCAGACTCAAATTCCCTGATTTTGACTCCAAATGACACAAAACTCGAACCAACGCCTGGTAAACATAATTTGAGCTAAAATTGAGACTTGCAACACCTTATACTTAGGAAAACCATCAAAAGCCGATTCCAACGCGCATCAAATGCGTGTTTAAATACGGACTTAATTATCACCCATACGGTGATGAGAAACGAGAATATAAGATGCCAACGACTATTCTACGGTTCTACAAGAGGTGGGTAGAAGTCTAAAAGTGAAATAAAAAAAACAAAGTGAAAATAAAAAAGTTAAATATGAAAACAAAAAGGAGTTGGGACATAAACGATAAGAGGATATAAGAAAGAGACCGTACGTGTAATTTCCACTTGTTTGAATTAGGGATGGTTCGGTACGGTATACCTTATATTTTTTCTCATACCTTTGCCGTACCAAAACTTTCGGTATGCAAGATTTGCATACCTTTACCTTACCGAAGTTTCGGTATACCGCATTTCGGTATACCGAAGTTTCGGTTCGGTAACGGTACGGTATCGGTAAATTACCGTACATGTCTCCCAATACAAAAAATTATCATAGACTAACGAAATATACTAAATCGTTATTACTAGCGGCATATTAAATCTATTATTAAAATGTTACGAAATACAATTAATAATCTATTGATGTCAATTCAATATTGAACAATAATTATTATTAGTATTTTTAAGCAGTTCAACATGTCACATATTAAAAAGTAACACATTCTCCTAAAATAACTTGAACAATATAGATATAATTAAATCAATAGTGATCACTAACAAAAATAAATAAAACTATTCAAACAACATGGATATAAAATCATTTATTCCTAATATGATATTGTGTATTCAGTCATTTCTATAATTTTTTAAAAATTGAATAAGACTTTCGGACAAAGTTGTGTGTCTTGACTCGCGGACTCCCTATGTAGATACACTTGTCACATAAGCGTATCTCTCTTCACTCGTCGGCTACTTAACGGTCCAGCCATCATGACTTGCAAGCTCTCTTGGAACAAGCTGAACTTGTTTCTTAACATTTGTACATTACTCATTAGTCATTAAGGTTAGCGTAGTAGAAGCCTATAAGGTTATAGTGAGTTTGAGAAATTGGGCCTTTATTTTTGTATTTTTGTATTTGTAACCAACTTAAGTATTAATTTTGGGCTTCAAAATTGTAATGGATTTTTACAATATATTACAATTAAAAATAATTGTTGAGTAGGGAGTCGGTACGGTATTATACCGGTATACCGCGGTATTTGAAAACATTTACCGTTACCGTACCGAAATAGATCGGTACGGTATGATACCGTACCGAAAATGACGGTATACCAATATTTCGGTATTTTCCGATATTTTTCGGTACGGTAAGTGCGGTATACCGATTTTTCGGTATTTTTGCCCACCCCTAGTTTGAATGCATATCAGATATCACCATTTCCCATAGGTCAGTAGCCCATTAATTGATAGCCTGTTTTTAATACCCAGGCCCGACACTATTTAGTTCTCCTAGCTAGTATTGTCACCACACATTTAATATTCATTTTTAGGGAACTAAAAAATGAAAGTGACGATACAAATTAAGATGTTATTAACTTATTATGTGATAAATAAAATGTGAATCAAGTGAATGAATTATAACTACCCAAATACTTTAAAATACGGTATAGGTAAAACTTAATGAGATGGACTAAAAAGATAAAATGAGACAAATATAGATGAAATAAGTAGGAGTAATAATACAAAACAATATAATGAAACATGGGACGGTGTTAATTAGAGTCTGACCTTGGACGTTTTAAGAGAAAATTATGTACTACCAAAATGTCCATTTGATCATGAAATTAAAGAAGGTAAAAATTTATGATTTTTTATTTTTTCACGAATCTTGACTGCATATAGTGCAATGCCATGTGTGTCAAGACAACAATGCGACTGGTCGTACTCAAAATGAAGTCTAGACACTTTGATGTATGTTTTGCTAATGGATTGATGTATTTACTTGGTCTGTTTACACTCCACAGACCAAATCAAATCAGATCAGACTTAAACAGATCATATCAAACTTGAGAGATAATATTTTAGCTTTTAATTAGTGCTACATTGTATTTATAGATCAAATTCAGAGGTCTGTGAGGAAGTTTTATATGATCTCACATGTTTCAGATCTAATAGTTTTAAGTTTGAATTTGGTGATTTGGGGTTCTAAATTACCAATTCATTGAGATTTAGAACCAGTAATTCATTTCCTCCCCACTCAATCTATTATATGAAGTGATCGATCGAGTAGGTACACGAGTTTGGACTATTTGGGTAATCTGTCAATAGATATAAAAAAATTGAGGCTTCTCTTGGAAATTGGAATCCTTCCCCTAAATTAAACCATGGCTGTGGCTACTGGAGCAATTGAATTTCGATGAGATAAATGATGAGGAATATTTATCAAGTTTATTTAAAAAAATAAAAAATACAAAAGACGGGGATTAGACCTTACTCGTAAAGATCACAAAGTGTGAAATATCATAAGCATCTAAGAATAAAACGTTTCTATCAATAAATGGTAAATTAACTGCTCGCAAATGAAAAACAAATGAAGAGTCTAAATGTCTGTTGTACAGATAATGTGCGGTCCAATTTCCTTCACGAAGAGTATGTTGGAAGGTTGATCCGTATGTAGTCCTATAATCTTGTTGAAGCATTTTACCGAACAATGTTCTCCCATCCTAAAATTCTCTTTTATGTTCTGCTACTAAATCTATAGTTCAATTTAGTTTATTAAGAAAACAATTTAAATCTAGAGTGACTGAACTTCCATTTTTGATACTTTTAAATTAATGTTGGATGTCCTAGCTCGATTCCCCTAGAGCAATCCCTTGCAAGAATGACATTCTACTTCACATATATGAAGATGCTCAGTGTTGCTCAAGATTGTCTCATAAAAATTTAATTGATAACTCTAGCTAAACCCATTTCAATCTGGAGCATAAACCTTATAGGGACAGTTGCACTCAATCCCTAGCCCTCAGAGCTAAGTTGAGTTCCATCACTTCCGTGGAATATTTTATACACGAGTAATGCATAGAAATAAAGTAGTACTCCCTCCGTCCCAAAAAGTTCTTCCCACTGTCGTTTTTGGGTTGTCCCAAAAAAATTCTTCCCAGTTACTAAAAATGGAAAGTTTCCCCAACTAAAAACCCCCTTTTACCCCTATTAATTATTTACCTTCCTACTTCTTTATCTCCCCACCCCTATACTATCTGTGCCCATCACATCTAACCCTAATCCATCCGTCTCCTTCTCTCTCTTTCCCAGTTTCGATCTAACCTTCATCCGTCTTCCACTCCTCCATTCTTGTACAGATTAATACTCTCCCCTTCTCTGATTTCCATTCCAATTAAACCCTAGCTCCTTCGTCGATTTAATCGTTGCTCCTTTTCTGAAATTCCCAACCCCTAGATCTGACTTCCATGGATGCAAAATCAAGCTCTCGGACCCTTGTTCAAGATCCGGTGGAATACAATGAATGCATGGAGGATCTTGTGGTTCCGGATAGCGAAGAGGAGTCGGACGAGGTAAACGGTGAAGGTTTGTTGGAGCTGGTGGTTCCGGACAGTGAAGAAGAGTTGGATGATGAACATGGTCAACTTCCGACCAAGGTTGTTAAAATCGTATTTTTGAATCGAATCGGTAGATGTTTTTAGAAATCGAATCGTAAAATCGAATCGCAAATCGTAAGATTTTACCAAACGTATGTTAATAATTATAAAATAAATAAATATTAAAATTAAGTTGCAAGTTAATGATAGTATATCATTTCATTACATAAAACTATACCTAAAATGTCAAAAGCAAGATTTATAAACTGTTTTTATAAGGTAAATGTATTGAATAATAACATTAAACATATGTAAAACATAAAAATAATTAAGTAACACAAGAATCCATTACTTTTATAAATAAACTATTCATATTATTATTATTGGAATTATGTATCAATTTGTAGTTGTTAATTTTAATAAATTTTAACTATTTTCATCAAAAACAACTTATTACGATTTTGCTATGATTTTGCTACGATTTTATACGATTCTACACGATTTTAGGACGATTTTTTTACGATTTTGTACGATTTTATGATTTTACGATTTTACCTGCGATTTGAATCGCTTTATTAATGTAGAATCGTAAAATCGTACGATTTTACAATTTAAATCGAGATTTTAACAACCTTGCTTCCGACAGAGGCTGTGATACCGGACAGTGAAGAGCATAAGGAAATGGCTGAAGTTCCAGAGTCTGAAGCCTCAAGAAGACGGAGAGAGGTGCAAAACCACCCTATTCACAAACCCCGTCTGGAGGCCTTCTTAAAAATCATTATAAATGGCTGGGAGTCTAGGATTTGGGACATCGACACATAACAGGGGAGTTTCTATCTTAACTTGTCCTCCTGATTTCATGTGTCTGACCGATTTTGCTTCATTGCATGAATGGTCCTTTTCTTATGTGAAAGTGTTTGAATTTGGGGTAGCAATAATGATGAGTATATGGTGTGTTTAGGACTGAAATTGTTGGTTGTCATCTGTGATGAATATTTGAGGATGATTTGGATGTTGTGTATGCTTGGATGGTATGTCAGGCTGCTGTGATGACCATTCCAGGTCTGAGCAAGCATTAACCCAGGTTGCTATGTTGACCATTCCTGGTCTGAGCAAGGCTTGTGGCAGGCTGGTATGATGACCTTCCCAGATCCTAGCAAGCATTAACCCAGGTGTAAGCATGGTATGCATGTTTGGTTGGTATTATTCTATGCTGTGATGACTATGTCAGGTCTCAATAACCCTTGTGGCAGGTTGCAATAATGACCACATGTGGTCTAAGCAAGCATTAGCCCAGGATGCTATGTTGACCATCCCAGGTCTGAGCAAGGCTTGTGGCAGGCTGGTATGATGACCTTCTCAGGTTTTAACAAGCATTAGCCCAGGTCTAAGCATGGTATGTATGTTTGGTTGGTATTGTTCTATACTGCTTGAGCAATAGTTGGTTGTTGTCTGTGATGAATATGTGTGTAATGTGTGATGTTATGTATGTTTGGTTGGTATGTGAGACTGCTATGATGACCACCCTTGGTCTGACCAAGGCCTGTGGCATGCTGCTATGATGATCACATGTGGTCTGAGCAAGCATTATACCAGGTGTAATCATGGTTTGTGTGAGGTATGTTGCTATGATGAAAATGTGTAATCTAAGCAATATTTTTGTTATGCTACAATGATGAATTCAATTCTGAGTAGCTAATAATACAGGCAAGTACTAATTCACAAAAATAGGCCTTTACAATATACCAAAAATATAGGCCTTCCCAAAATGACAAAAACTGTGACCTTTTCTAAATTTAAATAAGTATATGCCTTTACAAAATGACAATAAATCGGGCCTTTACAATAATGGATAGGGTTCATGAATGAAGATGAACTATTCCTCATCATCTTCTAGTATGAACTCCCCATTATTTGGCTCTTCCGAGTCATGATTAGTACTGGTGGTATTTACTGGTTGGGATAAAAGACCTCCTACAACATCAAGCAGCTCCACACCAACCTCTATGCTTGTGGGCAGAGTTCCTTCTGCATTATATGGTAGCTTGTTGACGTGCACTTTATCGTGGTGTGCACTCAAAATAATAATACAATACAAAAATTATATGTAGTATAACGAAGTAAGGTTCGTATCCACATGGAAAGAGAATACTTCTCTTTTATGTAACTAGTAACAAAGGGAGGTTTTAGTTTGATTTGATTTAATTAATTAAATACGAATATGAACGACTTATATGAGTTTACTTTAATGCATTTGAAGACTTGGTTTTGCTTTTATCGACTTAATGAAATGTTCGTCGATCCCGGTTATATCTTTAACTATCTTTCTCTCAAATACTCAATCGAGGAGTATATCCATTTCATCAAGGGTAGTTATTAATAACGAGACACGTTCATTAATAAAAATTACTACCGAATTAATATAGAACACGAGCCGTATATAAACCCGATAGTAGCAATAAAATCAAGATGAAAACGATTGAGATTGATAACCTCAACACAAGCATTTTATCGCTTTAATCTATATAATTAATTCCCCTTCGGTTATTAACCATGAGATGCATGCATTTATAACTCAAGTTTACTACCGTAAAAGGATCGAATGAATAACAAGCGTATTAATCGATCGATTCTAGTAATAGTTAATATATGAAACAAAACTAATTGATCCTTTAAGTAATGCTCAAAATATTAATATGAAATAGGAATAGAAATTAATTAATATTCAAGGAAGAAGATAAAAGAAAATAACTCACAACTTACAATTCATTAAGCTTCAAAGTAGCAAAACCAAGATGGAAGAGTTTAGCTCCTCATTTGGAGACTAAACATGATGAAAAATATAAAGAAAGAACTTATCTAAACTGAGCTTAGAAGTGTATAGAAATTGATGATCAAATGGGAAGGAAAACGGGTGTATTTATAGGTGTTTGGAGGTGGCAGTGCCATTTACCCGACCGGATTTTTGAAATACCCGATCGGGTTTTCTAAGTAATTGTCCGGAATCTTCATTTGTCACATCATACCCGATCGGGTTTTTTAATTACCCGATCGGGTAAAAGACAAATCTTTGCCAAATCTTCGGACAAGTCAATACTCGATCGGGTAAATGACTATTTCCCCAAATTTTCACTTGATCTTGTTCCCTTTTCACTTTCCTTGACCTTTCCAAGGATCTTTTTGACGATCTTCACCTAGTTAAAGCTCAGAATAATCCTAATCTATATAAATTACAAACAAATAGGAAAAATAAAGTATTACACCAAAAGTGTGTAATTTCCCAAACAACAAATAAAACTAGTTAAAATTACAAACATAAACAATAAAAATTCTGTACTATCACTTGTAGTTGCCCCCCCCCCCCCCCCCCCACTTTGAAAATCTCTAACATCACATATTGAAAGCTAAGCCACACCTTGTTGAGAGTCATGGGTGAAAGCTAATAGAATGCCTCATCAACTCCCTGTAACAATTCATCCACATTCTTCGGTGCTTTCTGGTCTTTTAGAGACTGGATTGCCCTAAAAAATCCAAGGTCTAGAATGTTAAGATCTGGGGAATTAAGGGGCTGATTAGTAAGGGTAATGTTAAACCCACCAGCTTTAGAGGCAACCATAAAATCTGGATCAGAATCTAGAATGTGTGGCCTTGCATTATCCTATTGGATAATGATTTCCTTGCTTAATTGTTCTGGCCATTTGTCCTTGATTGTAGGTAGCACTGTGTGTATTAGCATGTCTTTAAACATTGCTTTTGTAATGCTAAGTATAGGCTTGGTATCCATGATCCCTGCATTTCTTTTTTTGCCTTTTCTTGTAGCTGCCACTTTCTCAACAAATGGGAAAATACCAATTTTTCCATCCCGAAGAACATCATCATTTTCTGAAAATAGAGGCCTACCAACTGCTCCTAGTGACATAACTTTAGTTATGAATCTTTTGGATTTGCATACTCTATGTGGATCGTGCTCTTGTAGGCCCATGTAGTATCTTTGTGATGTTTTGGACAAGAAAAACCATTTTTCATCTATGTGTATGCAGTTATGAAAATTTATAAAAACTGGTTTTGATGGAGTTTTTTTTTGCCCCAACAAATTTAATTAGCATTAATCAAATCAAAAGATAAAGCGTCAACAATACAACTCGGAGGAGTAAACAGCTAAATCTGACTTTCAGACAAAGAACAAGCCGCTTTGGCTAATGTATGTGCGACTTTGTTAGCTGAACGCCGAACAAAAGAAAAAGATATATTATTAAACTCCAAGCTGATATCTCTAATGTCATCCGCAATCACTCCACCATACGACAAGCTTGAGCCACTTTGAATTTCCGAGACTGCTAAAAAGAGTCCGACTCAACCTCTATAGAATCCCAAGCTTGAGCTTTCAACCAACTCAGAAATTCAGTCTTGACATCCTGTTTGTGTCACTTAGCAAAGGATTTATAACATTAGTTTGATTTCTGAGAATACCTCTGCTAACCAGCCTGTGAATGGTTGACTTCGACAGTCAAGAGGCAGAGGCAAGTGCATTTATGTTGGTCCTTTTATGGAGAGGGATTCTGGAATATGACTAACATCAAACATGACTCTTTCTCTGCCTCAGTTTCCCACCCACTTTGTACTTACATCTACAACATCCCCGTTTTCAAGTTGCTCTTTGGCTGTATTCCAAATGTTGAAAATAGTTCTTCTTGTCACTGAGTTTTTAGTGGCTAGCTTAGAAAATAGACCTCTCTGAGCTAGTAATGCCCCAGAATAATCTCTTTTAGAAGTGATCAGCATTTCATCTATTAAGCTCTCTCTTTCCTTGTTTCCTAACCTTTTTGCTTTGATATTTGAGCTTGGGTGTTATGTTGTTGTTTGCAGATCTGCAGAAGAGCCTAATGAAGATGAAGCCAGATCTTCATTTATGGAAGGTGCAGAAGCAATTAATGAAGATGAAGCCAAATCTTCATTTATGGAAGGTGCAAAAGCAGTTAATGAAGATGAAGCCAAATCTTCATTTATGGAAGGTGCAGAAGGGGAAGAAGAAACTGGGCAACATTTATGTTGGCTACCATACATTGCATGTAGTCCGTGTGTAGTCTAGTGCGTTGTGTGTGCGTGCTATGTGTAGTAAATTCTTCTTTTAGAAAGTGTATTTATAGATGCTAAAAAGGGAGGGAAATTTTGGAGGGAAGTTTTTATGTAAGTAGGGTTTTTGCAGGGAATTATCCCTTCTTTTGCAGCTATCACATCAAATTTAGCTTTTTTGTACTTGCAGTAATTTCTTTTACCCCTTCCATTTCGGCCGCCACTTTATTTATTATAGGGGTATACATGGAATGCCATTTTTCACTTGCATTAAACTTTGATCCAAGTCAAAGTGAGAAGAATTTTTCGGAATGAAGGGAGTATAAATTAAAGTATACAGTATTCACCAACAAAGTCACATCAGATTATCATAATTGTGTTTTTTATGGAAAAGTGGCGTTCATCATTAGTGTAAAGTTCACCTAATATGTTATTGAATTTTTAAAATCCTAATTGAATGCATCTAACTTTTTATGAACTTTTTTAAAAATCAAGATATCAATTCCATAGCCTTCTAAATTTTTGGGAGTAATTTCTGATACAGTAAAACAAATAGATGATACATTATAGCCACATAGGTGATAGGACATTACATAGGAGGACATCATCATTGTGGCCCCCTCCAACTATCTTAAACATGCCATTAATACGATTATACCAATATAAAATACTCGTATATACAATAAATACTCTCTCCGTCCTGTTATGATCGTCTCATTTACCTTTTCAGTCCGTCCTACTAAGATTGTCTCATATCTTATTTGGTAAAATTTGTGTGATTCTAAAGCATTCTTACTTTATTACGGAGTATTACTTTATCAATTCATTATCAACCACATAAATTCACTTTTATTAATAACCGTGTCACTTTCTCTTGTACCAATTAACTTAGGAGGACATAGGTAGTATGAAATAATGCTACTCCCTCCGTCCTCCTATTATTGGGACGGAAGAGAGTGATGCAGTTTTTAAGAAAAGTAGAATTATATGATTGATAATGAGTTGATAAACTAGGAATAAAGTAAAAATGAATTAGAGCCACGCAAATGTTGTCAAATATGGTATGAGACAATAATAAAGGGGCATCCAAAAATGAAAAAATGAGATAATTATAGGGAGACAAAGGGAGTATTATTTAAAAATAAATGTACATTTATTTTTAAATAATACTCCCTTTGTCTCCCTATAATTGGTTGGCAAATTTGATATCGAATACTCCATATATGAATAGTTAATAAAGTTCGTGATATTACCCTAAACAAAACTGAATGAAGGCTTAATTGCACAAATAGATTAAAGAAATGTTTTGCTAAAACTTTAAAGAAGTTTCCTTCAAAAAAAACTTTAAATAAGTGTTTTTCAGTTTTTGTCTTAAAAAAGCTGAAAAAAGTGTTTTCAAATCACAGCTTTTGCTTATATTAAGCACTTAAAAGCTAAAAACTAGAAGCATGTGGATTGATGCTTTTAAATTTTTTTTCATTTTTTTATTACACAAAAAACACTTATTTTTACCAAACACTACTAATTTTTACTTTTTTGGAATCATTTTATCTCAAACACTACCAACTTTTACTATTATATACTTTCTCCAAAATTACTTTTTTGAAGTAGAAGCAATCGAAAAAACTCATCTCTAATACCTAAATCACTCACAAATAGGACTAAACCATAAATTTTATTAAAATGTTTTAATTCATAATAAAATCTTAAGAAAAGAATAAGATTCGTAATATAATATAATAAAAATTAATAGAATATTTGTAAAAAAAATAATGAAAAAATATTTTTTTTGAAACAAAAATATTAAAAAATAGTGAAAACATATATAAAACTAAAAAAATTGGGATGTGTTTCCCACCACATAGCACCACCACCTCTGATTAATAAGAAATGCTGTTTTATGTGAAAAAAGTCATTTTTCCTTTTAAAGTGCCAAAAATGACATTGTTATTCTTTGATAATGCCAAAATATTCACCAAAACTGTCGCCAATGTGACATTATAAATGCATGTTGGCATTTTTCCAGCGATTGGAGTTGGTGGCCGGTGCTGGGGTGATAGAGACAGCAGCAAAGGCCTGTATTTTTATTTTTTGCGTTTTTTATTTTTATTTTTATTTTAAATTATAATTATTATTATTATTATTATTATTATTATTATTATTATTATTATTATTATTATTATTATTATTATTATTATTATTATTATTAGTATTATTATTTTTCTAATTTTTTATGTTTTTTAATTTTATTATATATTTATTTTAGTCCGAAAATCTATAGGGTTATTTTTGTCTTAACAAACATGATTAATCTTATTTAGGAACTTAATACATGATAATCCTATTTGTGATTTAGGCATGTTTTAATCCTATTTAGGTAATGAACTCAATCCTATTTTTAGGCATGTCTTCAGGCACATTTTAATCCTATTTGTATTTGAGTTTTTTCCTAAAATGTTACTAAAAAAGTCATGGACAAAAATATTACTAAGAACAAAGCCACATTTTTGTCCAGTACTTTTCAAAGAGCAATATTATATTAGTGGAATTTTTTTGTTTATAGTTTTAGGCATGTATATATATTAGTAGCATTTGTTCGCGCAAGGCGCGAAGCTTTTGCCCAATGTTAAAACAATAATACGTATTATTTTTGTAGAACATTTTTATGCGAGATTTTTATGAGGTTTTTAAAATAGTTTATGAAATATCATACATTTTGCATAAACGGTTGATTAGGTTATATTCGTTATTGACCAAGTACTGTGTGTAATATTATATATATATATATATATGGAAAAATTGAACATAATAATCTCAATTATTGTTAAGTTGTTGTTAATAATCTCAACTATCAATTATTCTTGGATAGTCTCAACTATAGGGTCCATTTTTTAAAAATAATATCTAATCGACTATAACATCATATCACACGTCAATTTTAAATGTGAACTATGTGTAATCTATACATAGTCTCAACCATGGTCGATATTTTTTTTTTATTAATCTCAATTATTAACTCTCAATTTGCAGAAGATATAGAAATATGTTTTATAAATTTTCAAACTAAATATTTTTAAACATGTAAAAATAATTTCAAAAATTCTACAAATGCACCAATGTTAAATAAAAAAACATTAGTCATTTTTTGATTTATTTTCACTAAAATATGTTTTTTTCTTTTCTCCAATTCGTTTGTCTAAGTTGTGTTACAAATTTATGATTTTGTAGTGTTTTTCTTTATTCAAATTTACATTTACTGTTTTTAAAAAGTAAACAATGTAAAAAATTTATAATTGAACAATAATAAGTGAGAATGTATTTACATTTTTAGAATTTCCCTACTTTTTAATGGATGGACAAAAAACTAATGAATTTGTCAGCACTAAAACATACTCGTACGTGGTAATTAATTACTAGAGATGACAATTTCAGCCGACCCGTTGGATACCCGCACCGAACCGATTTGGTCAAACTGGGGAAAACCGATTTGACTGAGAAATGGGTATGGGGCGGGGAATACCCGAATTTTTTAAATGGTTAATGGTGCGGTTATGGTTTTATACTAATCCGCCTCGTTATCCACCCCGTTCACTAATGGTGAGGATACCCTCACCATTACCCGATCCGTAACATTATTAATGAATTATAACTTTTTATATATAAAGATAATAAGTATATATGCTAAATTGTGTATACTAAAGTATATACGGAGTATCATATACATAATGCTAAAAAGTATACTACTTTTTAGGCCTACAACTAAATATAGGCCTAAACCTGTTTTTGGAATTTGGATTCTGGGATGATTACTACCTTTTTATTATGTTACAAGAGATATTAGGTGCATGTCATACTAATGGATTTCGACCAGTCTGCTTGATTGCTTAAATATTTACTTTTGTATGTTTTAGGGTGCTTTGAATATATAAATAACAAGTAGGATTAGAAATTGGTTATTTGTTTTCCAAAAAAATGATTATTTGACATCATTTGGGGAAACGGTTATCCGTGGATAAACTGATTCCCCGTTGGGGTGAGTACGATTCAAATAAAAATTACCCGAACGGATAATTAATGGAGCGATTTTGGGGCAAACATTTATCCAACTGAGCGTTTTCGGTTTTATGTGTACCCGTCCCCGATCCGCCCCGTTGTCATCACTATTAATTACTCAAGCAAGAAATAATATTTAAAGCATAATATTAGGGGAGGAATTTGGATGTTAGAGTAATGGAGCGTGAAACGTAGCGAAATAAAAAACATTGACATTGACGGGTAAAGGTATTCAAGAGAATATGAAAAATGAAGTCCAAGTGTTTAATAGCATTGTACATACTCTCATGCACAAGTTAGATTGACACAAATCAAGGGCATTAACCACTATTCAAGAATTATAGGAATTTTCAAAATAAAAAAATTACAAAATTTATGACAACTTAAGTCTTAGATTGATAGTTTTCAATCATTCAGATCTTAAATTGATAGTTTTTCATCATTAAAGTCCTATATCGATGTTTTTCATATTTTAGGTCCCGGATTAATAATTCGTTTAAGTTTCGGATCCTGAATTGATAAAATTCTAAGACTATTATTATAATGTTGTTAGACTCTGTATTAACCTATACGGTCCTACGGTCACTCGACGGCCTAGATCCATAGATAGTGTGGTGCATTAGTACTTTCATTGACAGTATATTTACACTTGTAGTATGTTTGGTAAATGGTAATGACTTCAACAATTCTTCCTCTAACCAATTTAGCATCACTCCACTACCAACCATTTTAGTAACATTCAAATCAGTTCAATAGATTGAGATTGATAAAATTCTGGTTGAAGCGGCTTAATTATCTAAATTTGTTAAATTATGACAAAATTATTTTTGAAATTCATTTTACTAAAAAATAAAATAAAAATGAAAAATGGCTAAAACATTCATCCATAGAAACTTCATGTAATTCAACCAAAAACCCAACTTCAACCGTAATTATTTCTTGATATACAATTCAGCATACAAAATCAAAAAGTTACATGTTTAATAAAAAAAATTGACTGATAAGCTGAAAATAAAAGTTAATTACCAAATTAAATGGTCCTAAAAGAACTCATTTTAGAGGTGAAATTCAAAGACAGCTACACGCACTGGAATAGAAATTACATAAAATTCGTACGCAACTTAAGTAATTTTTTTGCGTTAAAAAATGCCATGTTCATAAGGATCGAAGATGTACATAGAATTCTTCCAGGCGGTAATATGAATATACAATTACATTATAAGAAAATCAATTTTTATCCATTTTAATTCCAAAGGTGATCGAATGACTATATATGACTCGGACTCCGTACTATTTTTGGGGTAAACGGTAAACCATTTACTATAAGTCTATAATTAAACAATATACGAAGGGAAAATTAATTACGCACCAAATAAGAAAATAATGATCGCTATAAAAGCAGGAGAAGAGGGGGCAAAGTCTTCTACACTTAAAACCAAAATCACAAGCAAAGAGAGCACGTGCGGTTATTGAAAATGTTTTTGAGAGCAACAATTTTGGCGTTTCTGGTGGTTGGTCTGGCCGCCGCCGCCGCCTATGAAAGAAAACCATACCCGCCTTGCGACAAGTGTGACTGTGTGGGGAATTTGTGCAAGGGGAGATTCCCGGCTGAGGCGGCGCTGGAGTGGCCGGACTTGGTCGGAGTTGATGAAACAATTGCGAGGGCGACCATCGAGGAGACCAATTCGTACGTGACGGTGGTGACGGAGAATGATTACGAAAAGTGCCCCGATATGGGGGATAGGTGTTGTAATCGGGTCGTCCTTTGTGTTCAATATCACCCCACAAATAATGTGACCAATGTCCCCAGGGTCGGATAGAATGGAAAGAATTGAACTCCACATTATTGAGAAGACACATTTTGTAACACAAAACATAATAAGAGTGCTAATTCTTAATGTACTAAAGAGCTGAGTTTGAATATCTTTTTGGTCCACATATTTGTAGTTAATATATGTGAGCTTGATTTAATTAAGTACGTGAATTGGATTCTATATGTACAAAGTCGTACTAGAAACCAATAACATTACAACAAATCTTAAACTGGATGTGGAAATGGCGGATCGATGAGAAGATATATATGTGCACGACTAAAATTAATGATGATTTTCAAAACATAATCTGGCATAATTGTTTTTCAAAATATGACCAAACACATATGGATTGGAATGATTGAGATAAAACACAAAACAGTATTCATACACCGATACACATCCGGCCTATGTATCCATTATGTTACGTACTTACGTTACACTCTTTCTCGTCCTGGTCTAATGAATTGTGACAACATTCGTTTTTTATCATCACAAAAAGTGAATAAAAAGTAAGAATAGTTGTGATCGTTAAAGCAGTTTTTCACAAAAAAAGTGTCACTGTAAAATAGTTTTTTCATTGTAAATCATGATTTTTTTGGTTAAAAGTAGTTTCCTTATATATTAATAAATGCGAATTGAACTTTTTAGGGACATTCATAAAAGAAAAATGTGAACTTCTTTTCGTCAACACTTTTCTTTCGCCCATTCCATTAATATACAAAATACAATAAATACTCTCTTCGCCTAGATAATGTTGTCTTATACCAATTTTGATAAAGTTATGTTGTTCGAAATAATTCTTACTTTATTCTTATTTTATCAATTTAATATCAACTGCCTAAATACACTTTTCGTAATAACTATGTCAACTCTTCATGTTTCAATGTTAGTGAGATGGAAGTAGTATCAAATAGTGTTATAATTTTAAAAATACATGTACCAATATAGTGTTACATACTATTTACTCCGTAGTTGGTAAATGTGATATCAAATTTTACGTACTACCTCCGTCTCAAATTGTTATGCAAAGTCATTATTTTTTTGTCGATCAATGTTTAAGTTAAATTTTCCCTATTTATAATTAATTCAATTTGAATAATTAAAACTTACATATTCAGGAATTATATTAAAATCTCTATAAAATTGCAAAATCAAAATTAAAATGTTATCGAGAATTGATATGCGAATTAAGTGAATTAAATGAATCAGTTTGACCAAGACAATCAACTTTACATGCAACTTAAATGAAAATTCTCTAAATAGGACAAAAACAATGATAAAGTTCATAAATAGGATCATCATTGTTGTATTTCCCAAATAAGACTCATTCACTCCTATTTTGGGAGGTTTAATTTTGATTAATTTATTTCTGAAATAGGACCAAATAAGTCTTATTTGAAAAACAGAACATATTTAGTCCTATTTTTGCACTTTGAGTATATTTTGGTTTTATATTGGACAATTTCTAAACTTAAAATTTGGAACAAAGTGAGTATATGATGAGTTATATACGGAGTATTAAAGTTCCACCTGGATAGGTATTAATTACTCCGTATTAACCTACGGTCGAGCACGAGACGGCCTAGACGCATAGACAGTGCATGTGGTGCATAAGTATTTTCATTGGCAGTATATTCACACTTAAAGTATGTTTGGTAAATGGTAAATTGGTAATGACTTCAACCATTCTTCCTCTAATCATTATTTTAGCATCCCTACACTAGTTCACTACCAACCATTTTAGTAACATTCAAATGGGTAGAAATGTTGAGATTGGTGAATTCTAGTTGAAATTGATGAATTGACACAATCTACCAAATTATGACAAAATTAGTTTTAAAATACATTTGACTAATAAAATAAAAAGAAAATTAGCTAAAACATCCAGTGCAACAACTTCAGTCAATCCAGCCAAAAATAATAAATTCAAAAGTTTCATGTTTAGCAAACAAATGTTTGATAAGTTGAAAATACGGATTTACCAAATGGTCCTAAAATACTCATTTTATTTAGAGTTGATCAAATTCAAAAACTGCTGCACATACTGGAATAGAATTTACATAAAATTCATACACAACTTAAGTAATTTTTGGTGTTTTACCTAAATTAAAAATGCCATGTTCTCAGTACCGAAGATGTACATAGAATTCTCACAGGGAATATGAATATACATTTAAAAAAAATCAATTTTCATCCATTTCAAGTCCACAGGTGATCGAGAGACTACATATTACTCCGTACTATTGTTTTGGGTAAACCATTTACTATACGTCTATAATTAAACAAAATACAAAGGGAAATTAAATTAACTGCGCACCAAATAACAAAATAATAATCGCTATAAAAGCAAGAGAGGGGGAGGCAAAGTCTTCAACATTTAAAACCAAAATCACAAGAAGCTAAGGGAGTTCATCTGTTTATTGAAAATGTTTTTGAGAGCAACAATTTTGGCATTTCTGCTGGTGGGCTTGGCCGCCGCCACCTATGAAAGAAAACCATACCCACCTTGCGACAAGTGCAACTGCGTCGGGAATGGGTGCAAGGGAAGATTCCCGGCGGAGGCGGCGGTGGAGTGGCCGGACTTGGTCGGAGTTGATGAAACAATTGCGAGGGTGACCATTGAGGAGACCAATTCGTATGTGACGGTGGTGACGGAGAATGATTACAAAAATTGCCCGTATCTGGTGGATAGGTGTTGTAATAGGGTCGTCCTTTGCGTTCAATATCACCCCACAAATAATGTGACCAATGTCCCCAGGGTCGGATAGAATTGAAAGAATTGAACTTCACATTATATTCACACACATTTTTTGTTTTACAATTTTAATACATATTACTACACCGATCATGAATTCTTTCGGGTGTACGTATCACAAAATGAAAGTGCTATTTCTTAATGTACTAAAGAGTTGCAACATCCTTTTTGGTCCAAATATTTGTAAAAGTTTGATATATCAGTCCCTACCATTATATTTGAGCTTGATGTATAATGTATTGCATGGGAATTGGATTATATGAGTACAAAGTCTAATTACAAATCAATACATTACAAAAAATCTTAAACCGGCCGGATGGGAAAAATATACTATCGTATATGTTTACTACTAAAATTAATGACAAATTCTCAAAATAAGATGAAACATAATTTTGTTTCAAAATATGACCAAGACACATATGGAACCAGATAAGAAAAAGAAAACACATAGAGTATTCGTGCACGTCCTATGCCATCATATTAGGGAAAAAAAGACACACTTTATGTTTAGGAAACATATACATAAGATTTTAGTGAATTGAACTATGTTACTAGCTAGGAAACATAATGTATCCACTATCCATTATGTTACGTTACACTATTTTGGTCTGCTCTAATGAAATACTAGTACGAAATATTTCATTTTTAATGAGAAGCTAAAGTCAGGAAGAAGATGATATTAATTTTCTTTTAAGTGTATATAGTAGTAAAGTTATGTCGATTGATTTCAAAGTAGTACCATTAAGAGATAGCTAAAAATACATAGAAGGAAAATTCTACGATTACCTTAACAACTCATATCTTGTTCATATAAACCGATTACAATATTACAATGAATAATTTAAATACAAATAAAAGATGAAATAATGACTTGGAGTCTTAGATCAATCAAATGTGTAAAAAGTTTGGAGTTTGAATACCAAAGTGTTTTAATTTCATCCAAATATTGAGAATTTGTCCAGTAACATCAAATTTGTTGAATCTGGTTGAGTTCGGAGTGAATGCAGCTCAAATGGTTGAGTCTGGTGAAATACAAAAATTTTATACGTAGTACTTAAAATGTATTTTATTAAAAAAAAAATAAAGAAAAAATATGTGAAAAGTAGCTAAAAGGATTATTATCAATATTAAGTTGAGAAAATTCGGTTAGAATATAACTACAATCTTATTTATTTTAATTATCACTTATTTCACTATGTAAAATCAAATGCATGTGCTTGGTAAAAGAAATTGGTTGATAAGGTTTATAAGCCGAGAATGAGGTTATTTACGATGTTTGTACTTGGTTTGGTTTCAATCCTACACCACGACAGAACAACATATCAAAACAAACTTAAAACGACAAAATCAGACTTTAACAGTTCTGAAATGCATATAGAGTTTATAGACTAAACATTTATCGGGTTTAATGCACCAAACCCCCTGTGATTTGGAAATTCGGCGCATTAGCCCCCTGTGATTTAAAAAATGCGTCAAACCCCCCTGTGTTTTAATTAATCATACGCCAAATCCCTTATGTGAGCAAATTCAATTGTCAAATAAAAGAAAAATGATTAACATTTTTGTATGATTCAGAGATTTTGACATATTTATTTGCATATTCAATCAAAATATTAGGAAAAGTGATTTTCAAATCGTTAAATTTATTCATAAAGGGGGTTCTGTGCATGATTAATTAAAACACAGGGGGGTTTGACGCATTTTTTAAATCACAAGGGGCTAATGCGCCGAATTTTTAAATCACAGGGGGGTTTGGTGCATTAAACCCACATTTATCAGACTAAATCAGAGCAGACAAAACTCTAGTTCAATTAAAACATAAGTAATTGTCATAAATGGGAGTAAAACATTGATAAAATTCTAAATTAGGAGTTCCAATTGATTTATTCCCTCAATAGGAGCTCTTAACTACCCGGTCCGTTTCAGTGGTCCATTATACCCTTCTTGGTAAATTAATTAAATTACTTTCCTTATCTTTCTGTCAGATCTATCTTCTTTTCTCACGCAATAACTCTGCTTTCTCTATGTTTTGACGCAACCTGCTGGCTTCGATCTTCTCCCTTCTCTCTCTCTCTTTTCATCTCCTCCTCCCCATCTACTTTTCTCCAATTCTCCATTTCCGGCGGTTTAAAAAGCTTTGATGAATTTTCTCCCCAATTCCGGCACCGGCGAGCGGTGGCAATCAGCGAAGGTAAGTTTTTATTTTCTTCTCCTCTTCTTCCTTCTTTTCTTCTTCTTCTTCTTCTTCCCCTTCTTTTTTTTGAATCACTAGGTGGTGCGGCAGACTTGGTTGAAGTTAAATCAAAATCAAACAAAAAAATTCTGCCCTGCAGCTTGATTACAACAAGCAAGTTTTTGATTTAATATTCTTTCATTTTTTGTGGGAGATTTAATATTCTTTCTTTCTATAGATCTATTTCATTTCAGATTTTTATTATCGGATTTGTTTATTGCTTTTTTGTTCTCTGTTTCAATTTTGTTTAGCTTTTGTTCTTTTGATATTTATTTTATATTTTATAAATACAGAATATAATTTTTTAGATTCATTTTCAAACAATATTTTTGTAATTTTTCAGATTATTTTGTGAATTGAATCTAAAAAAGTCTTAATTGCTATTCTAAGCTAATTTTTATGGTATTAAGATGAAAATATTATTCCTTTGCAAATATAAATATACTAGTAATAACATGTTTTTCCATGTAAAAGTATTGACACATAGTGTCATTTTTTTATACGAACTCCTTTAGGATGGCAAACACAAAACTAATAATGCCATATTTTGTCCATATATAACAATGTTTTTTTGGCACATAGTTCCATTTATATGGAACTAACTCCATGAAAGATGGCAACATATGACACTTGTCAATACAATATTATAATGTCTTGACAATGTCAAAATTAACCAAAACAGTGTCTTCTGGCACCACCGGCTTCTCATACAACTATAATGGATAGCCATCTTACCCACTTTGAGTCACAGTGCCTAACTTAACATTAATTTCTGGAATTTCAGTTTACAGAATGAAGAAATGGCATTTTAACTGATATAATGACATTTAATGTCAAAATGGCACAAATTTCCAAAATATAATTTTTTAGAATGAAAACATGGAAATATGGCATTACAATTGATGTACTATAACAAGTGATGTGCCGCCATTTCTACAAAGAATTATTTGTGTTGTAAAATATCAGATGCCGATATATTGAAATTTTTTCAGAAGGAAAAGGATAAGAAATATTTTAATTCAATTTTTCTAAACAAATGAATCCGAAAAATAAAAAAAAGATCCAAAATTATCAGATCTAAAATACCAATTTTTATTTTGAATCTCAAAATTAAATAAACAAATACCATTATAATGCTATTCAAGTTATCAAATGGAATTTTAAAGCTACCAGATCTCAAGGCAGTGGTAGAGTCAGAGAGGCAAGGTTGAGGCGACACATTATCTGGCTGCGACAGTGGATGAGGCGGCGACGCCGGCAATTGGCGGCAACGAAGATGGCGGCTCCGGCGACTAGTGGTAACATCATTGGAGGCAGCGGCAGAGATGTGGTGGCGGAGATGTGGCGGCGGTGATGGCAGAGGTGTGATGACAGTGATGTCCGGTGACGGTGGAGACTGGAGGTGGTGATGTCTGGCGGCGACGACAGGTCTAAGTGGTGGTAGTGTTGGCTTCAGACTTGTGACACTCAGGAAGAGTCCAATATTGTACTCTGTATATGTTTTTATTTACTCCGTATTATTTTATTTTATTATATAATAAACATGTAAGAGTTTCATTAAGGGTAATTGTGTCAACTCATATTATTTTACTCCTATTTAATCTTACGGAACATAGGACTCCTACTTTTGCACTTTAGTCATGTTTTACTCCCACTAAAGGAATTATCTCTTAAAACATCGATCATCTTAAATAGGTTTTGAGATACCAAATTTCATCAATACCAAGTACGATAGTACTTACCAACCATGAGCAAAGTATAAATTTACCCCTACAAAACAAATTAAGGCAACAGAATCCATGATATAGAGTCATTAAACTAGGTGATCACGCTCAAATGTAGATACAAAAACAGACACAGTAAAACATGAACACGAGAAGTCTTCATTACTAATCACTAATTAGAGAAGAAATGAACGAAATACAGAGCACGCACTGCCTCCATCCTGGCCGGACCAGATGAACCATCATCGATCATATCATCACAGCCGCTACCAAGCTGATCATCGCGAGCCATGGAACTAAGGGAAGAGAAGCGGCAGCCGAGGAAGAAGACCCTTTCTTGGGAGGCGTCGATGGAGAAGTAGAGGTGGCGTCGGCGGCAGGGGATGACGGTGTGGGTGAGCCAGAGTCCTTTACGACATTGACGGCCAGCTTCATTCCGTTGGCGCAGTGGCCGGCGGAGGAGCAGATGAAGTAGTGGTTTCCGGCAGTCTTGAGAGCGACGGTGGTGGTGCCGCTGCTGTCGGAGGTGATGGAGTTCGCGGCGGTGCAGGAGTTGTAGTCACTCTCACTTACTTCGTTCACCGTGTGCCCGTCTGGGTATTTGAACACTGGATATGCAATTCAAAGTTCAGTGTTACGTTTCTAAAAAAATTGAATGTCCTATTTTAAATTTAAGGGAAAAGGTGCAAATAGGTCCATTTACTAACCAAAAAAGGTCAAATAAGCCCTTATTTAGGAGGCTCTGTCCGGCTGTCGTCATTTCGGGTGGTTCCCGGTGGAATTTTTTGATGAAATTTTTTGAGCATCTTATTTATCAAGTCTAGTTTACTCATACCAAATTTCAGCTAAAACTTCAATCGGGAAGGCATTCAAATGAATTCTTGAATATAACTGTGCTTCTAACTGCGCAGTTATTTTCAAGAATTCATTTGAATGCCTTCCCGACTGAAGTTTTAGCTGCAATTTGGTATGAGTAAACTAGACTTAATGAATAAGATGATCAAAAAAATTCATCAAAAAATTCCACCGGGAACCACCCCAAATGGCGACGGCCGGACAGAACCTCCTAAATAAGGGCTTATTTGACCTTTTTTGATTAATACATGGGCCTATTTGCACCTTTTCCCTAAATTAAATTTAACGCTCCAAACCTACATAATCACTCTAACAATATTGAACTTATCTCTATTCCATTCAAAGGTTCCAAACCACTATTCATACGATCAATTTAAAGCATTTT